CAGCAGTGGGAACCCATGTTGCAAGTATATTCGCTGTTTGAAATGTTTCAGATCATTTTTTAACTGAAAGAGATTGTTATATATCCTTGCTCGCTACACTCCTACTCTGGCTATTTTACCAGCTTGAAGTTACTGAGCTGTGAATGGTAATTCTCTAACCTACTCCAATTATTATGTCAGTTAGTTCCTCCACAGAAACTACCTGTGGATTCCACCCTTGGCAGTCAAAACCTAGCCTTTTATTTTTACTTTCATTCCAGATAGGTTTTTTTCCTCAAAATATTTCTTAGGGAAAGTTATGCAGTATTTGAAATCTCTAAGCAGCTATAAATGGAAACTTTGCCAGTTTGTTCATCTCTTTATATGGATGTCCACTGTAAACAAAGAACATAAATGGAATCCTGGCATGGGATAAATGGAGTATTTATTGGTTCACGGAACATACATTCTCTTTTCACAAAGGAAAGCATATGCCCTAAACCAGGTCAATGACAATATCCTGCTTTGTGTTGAACATCTATTGCCTATTGGGAATGTACCGGTACTTAAACTGCATTCCTTGAACTAGTAATTTCATTTTCTTATAATTCTACGCATGACATTTCTTCCCCAATTAAAGTGAGAAACTAGTTGTAGTACTGCTTTGTCAGTATACCTTTTGCAATATAAGTTGCTCTATATGTTCTATTGTTGAAAAGCATTTGGCACGTAGAAGTGTTGACCAGCATGTTTTAAAATACTTCAACTGGAGGACATATGAAAGGCTGTAGTGACGTACTTTTCCCTCAATGGTTAGCTGCTTGGAAAGTTTGGTAATATTTATTTATATTGTGATAGTGCCAGAGGTCCCAGTCTGCATCAGGTCCTTCGTGTATCGGCCCTGCACAAACCCACAGTAAGAAACAGCCGCTCTACCCTGCCAAACTAAAAAGATCAAGGGATGGTAGCATGCTATAACATGAAGCAACCTGCTCAGGAGCGGTGATACGTGTATCTTGCTAGTTCTATATTGTTTTTGCCCTCAGGACAATCAGCATAGGAAGGGTGAAGGGAGAGGGATACAATTGAATATATACAGTGTATATGCACATTTTATTATATACCTTTTTGTATGTCTTTTTTAATACACATCAATGCTAGCCAACAGCCCAGTTCAATCTAACCGCTATCAGTTGTTCAGTTTCTTGTAGACACCATGGAATAAGGCGCCCTTGAGGAGCGATTTGAAGGTGGAATGAGTAGTGGTCATACCGATCAGATCAGGGAGGATGTTCTGTGTATACAGGACAGTGTGTAAGGAAAGAGCAAATACGTGTATGCAGGAAGATAGCCTCAGGATGGGGTGGGGGTGCAGAATGACAGGAGGTAAAAAATCATTTTGCAGTCAATTAATCGACTAATCATTATCCAGGAAAAGATTGTAAAACAACAACACACAAGTGACATACTTCATCCTGGGGTTTTAACAGATTCATATACAGTACTGTCTCTGGAGTTTGGAAGTGGGGAAGAGGTTTTGGTTTTAATGTTTATGTTCATTAAACTGTAGTATGTAACTACTCAGTTTCACTTCTTGATTTGGCCCTATTTAACCAAAGCAAATTTGGGCAGTGGTTTACACCATGAGATGTAGAAAAATTTGCAAAATGCAGTGGGAGCTCATTTTTCCCCACACAACCAGAGTGTTTGGCTTTTTTTGTAGGTGGAGCATGAGGAAGTGAAATCCTCTTCCCCTCCCCTCAACCCAGGGTCAAAGTGCACAGCAGTTGTAACCTCTTCTCTCCCCCTCCAATGTGGCTACTGGTTTACAAACCATGTGGTGTCAGAGTCTTCCCCAGCCATACTCATCAGAAGTGAATGTCACCCTGTTGAACAGCTGTGGGACAGTATGGATTTTGCTGCTAATCATTTCTAAGCTGTGTTGGTTTGTTAATCACTGAAACTGGCTTTCAGAACATGCCACTCCTGCTCATTAGCCAAATTCAGTAGATAATCTGATTTCACTGTAATGCATTTTTTGTTAACATATTTTTTTATTGCTTAATATTAATCATTTGTCATAGTGTCTTTGCATCTTTCATGAAGCAACATTCTTTAGTTTTCCCTTTTCTGTAAGTTCTCAAATATCTTTTTACCATTCCTGATTGTGGTCTGAGCCCCCAGTAATTCAGATTGTCTGGATTATTTCCCAGATACCCATTGCCATATTCCTCTGAATCTTTTACAATCTTCACTTTACTCTGCTCCGTTCCTTCCCCTCAGGAGAAAAGCACATCATAAGCAGCTCTACCAAGGTAGGCAAGGAATGCAGAAGTTGCTTTTTACAATGTGAACTAACATTCTTCTATTATACATTGTGCCTGTAAATCTCACATCTTTCATAAAATGTTTCATTCCCTCACAATTAGGTGGATGTAATATGCATATGCCATTTTCTTGTGAATACTCTTAATACTAATATTGCTTTGATTCTCGCAGTCAAATTCCCAGAATGTCTCTTCTAAATTACCTTCCAATTTTTATATAAGAACTGGATTGCATAGGCACATAAGGTCACCATTTCTTTCTATAACACAGCATTCTAATCGTGTGTTCCTAGGCAGCAAACAAATCTTTAAAAAGCCAATGGGTTACACAAGGTGTAATATCTGATCAAAATTTTGTTCCTTTAAATAATACATATTTTGTTAATCTGATCACCCCTGGATATATTTATATATATGTGTGCATGTGTGTATATAATCTTTCAACAAATTATAATAATCTGAAACCAAATTTGGTGCTAAATTATGTAATGAAGGTTAGAAAAATTGTCATTCTTTAACGGTTGTTCTAGAAGTCTCAATAAATAACCTAGAACAGTGGTGGGTAACCTGTGGCCCATCAGGGTAAACCATGGCCACTGGGAGCTGCGGGCGACCATGCCTGTGGACGGTCAATGTAAACAAATAGTCTTGTGGCCCACCAGCAGATTACCCTGACGGGCTACGGGTTGCCTACCACTGACATAGAATGTTTAATGTTAACAACAAAACAAAGTACTTAGAAATAAAGAACAGAAATAATGTGCTGAAATAAGCAGAGTACTGAATGTTATTAATGAGAAAAGATGCTAATCATTGTGACAAATTGTCTTTATAAATCAGATTAAGTACTAAAATTTAACAAATTACACCAGCCTTTATGATATTTTAGGTACTTACCTTTACATTGATGAAGATAAATATCTAGAGTTGGTACTGTTGTAAGGTTCCCCTCCCCCCCCCCCCCCCACTTATCTCTAAGCATTTCTACAAACAGGTAAAACTGCTTTTGAGACTTTGTTGTTTTTAAAGGGACATGGTCAGGTAGTTTAGACACATGATCTAGGTTTTGTAGCAAGAATCCTTATGCATTCAATGTTTAACATCATTTGGGATTTTAACATTCTGCACTAGGTAGTGCATAAGCACTAGAAAGTGAAACCTACTATAACAAGGCCAACCTGTCACCATACAGCGAGGGACTGATTAAAAGGGAGAACGTTTTATAAATTTATATTCTCTCATTCTCTGTCTAGTAATACTGGAAAGGAAAAACAAGAATCCAATATAATTTTGAGCCTAAATGTCCCCTTAATGTCTTTTGCAACAAAGCAGAAACAGTTACAATAGTATAACTTCAAAGCTCAGCACTCATTTTTCATGACAAAATTACTCAACCAGCATCATGCAACCGTTTGCTTTTTTCTTTGTCAGCCCCAAAAAATTAAATGAAGTTAATTTTTAAAAAAAATTAATTACTAAACAACACTATTTTGTTATTTGTTTGATTAGTCAGGATGTTTTAAAGCGCTTGATAATGCTTATAAAAAATTCAAAGTTGCTTTTAATACAATTTCAGTATAGCAAACTTAAGAAAAAAAAGTACAGGTTGAGTCAACTGATCACACTCATCCATCCCACATCCCCACACAGTAGAAAAGTCAGGGTAATCAAATCCCTTTTGGTAGATTATTTTTCTCTTATAATACAAAGAGTCACTATATAGGAATAATGCTGTGTCAGAGCAGCTGGGAGAGGCAGTCCAGGTGGATAACTGCTGGGGGATCAGAAGCTCGATGTTTACACTACACTTCTGTAGTTCAAAGCAGAAGGGAAAATGGTCTACAATTTTCACTAATCCCTTTGGGTCAGAAACAACTTGTAGATGGATATGAGCAGTAAAGAAATTTGGCCCTTGGCATTACATGGTGGGGTGGCAGTGGAAACAACTGAAGCTGGGGTTGTTTATAATTTAGTTACAAAAAAAGGTTTGTTTCTTCCCGAGAACTCCTCAGATATAGGTCAGTTGAGCTCAGCTTCGGCACAGTCTGATTTCTGCTTTAGAACAGAGGTTTGTGATTTTTTAAAAAAAATCCATGTATGAAAGATCACAACAGGCCTGACACAATTCAACACTGTTGACTTTTTCAAATTTGCTCTTGCACAACTCCTGCTATTAGTTGCTGCTTTCAATTTGCACTAAGAAGTTCCCTACTCTTCTCAATGTACAGGTGTGTTAGAATACAGCCCATAGGGTCATAATTGACCTTTACAGGATTTAATTCCGGCATTCCCCTCAAAAGATTATGGTGTCTTTTACTAGCATTGACATAGAGTGCAACTGCGAGCTAATAAATGCTATTACTAAGTAGTCAGTGTGGCCATGTCTAGGGTAGGAAAACAGGTTGTATTTTTAAAATGTGTTTGCTAGCTAACACATTTTAAGTAACAGGACTTCACAGAGGACTTTGCATATAGTGTACTAAGGGCTAATCAAAGCATTGGTTTGGCTAGTTATGGTTAATCCTAGGGGTAGCCATTTAAATAAAGAGCTTTCAAACTGATTCCTTCCCCCTGTGAAGAATGGCTATCGCTTACAGATGACGTATGAGATGATAAACATATACTATAAACAACCTTAGCTAAAAGCAGAAGCTAAATTTAAGAACAAACCACAGTGACATTTGAGTAACAAAATTATATAGCTTGTATTAGGTTGTTTTAATTGCAAACCAAGCAGTAGCATCTCAAACTATTTTACTTTTACAGAAGGAAATACCATTCATGCTGTTCACTCAAATCAAATATAATTTTACTTCAATACTCAAACTTTATGTAAGTAATAGTTTTAAACAAAAGTTGTCAGTCAAAAACAAGGAAAAAACTCCCCCATCAATCCCTGAACATAGGTTGTTTGAACTGCACCCACCTTTTTCATTCCTTCACCCTGCCAGTTCCAACATTATTCCTTGTATTGGAAATGAGGAAGACTACATGACCCAGCAAGCCCTAACACTGTCTACATACACCAATAGCCGGCAGCATTCAGGATTAGTATACATTTTTGCAGGTTTATTAAAGTTAACCGTTCTCATTGCCATCTTTTTTAATTCCCTTCTCAATTCGGACCCGATGTCTCCTGATGAGCTAGCGTTTAAGCCACTTGCAAGGTGGATTGTGACGTTTTTTCAGATGGCACTAAGCACTGAGTGCTGTCTCTAGCAGTTTGTGATATATTAACCACCACATTAATGTTTCAAAGGAGAGAGGAAGCAGCAAGTTACCATGATGTCATTGATGACTTGGAGTGGAGCATATGCTTACAAAAGTTGCAGATAACACCAAGATAGGAAGACATTGCAGGCACTTTGGGGAAAAGGATTAGAATTCAAAATTAGCTTGTAGAATTGGTCAGAAATCAAAGTACTTCACTTAAGGAAGAGAAAGAAAAAAAAAAAGGACTAATTGGGTTGGTGGTAGTCCTGCTGAAAAGGAGTTGGGGGTTATAGTGGATTACAAACTGAATATGAGCCAACAATGTGGTGCATTGTGAAAAAGGATAATATTCTGGCGTGTATTAACATTAACGTATATGGAAGACATGGAAGATAACAGTCCTGCGCTACTCCATAGTAATCAGCCTTCAGCTGGAGTCCTGTGTCCAATTGTGGGTGCCAAACTTTAGGAAAGACATGGATAAATTGGAGAAAGTCCAAACAAGAGCACCCACAATAATAAAAGGTTTAGTGCACTGGTCCCCAAACGGTGGGGCACACATTCGGGGCAGGGAGAGCCTGGCAGGGCCCAGGTCAACCTCAACAGGCAAAGAGACAGTACTACCCAGTCCTGCCCCAGCCTCAGCAACGGCTTCGCACCTGGCCGCCAGCCCCAGCCTTGACCCCTGTGCACCCCAGGTGAGTTGCAGCCATGCTCCCGGTTCCAGGGGGGCAGGACAGGGGTAAGGTCATGACCCTGAAAAGTTTGAGGACCACTGATTTAGAGACTCCGACCTGCGAGAAAAGATTTAAAAAAAACCCAGAGCCTGTTTAGTCTTGAAGACTGAGGGGGGAACCTGGTAACAGTCTTAAAATATGTGAAGGGTTGTTATTAAGAGGATGGTGTTCAATTGTTCTTGTACTTTCCATGAACATGGTGACGGAGTGGGACTAGGTAGATGGAACATTTTCCCTAATAGCTATAAAGCTAGTTAAATACTGGAACAGGCTTTCAAGGAATGTTATGGAGTCCTGTCATTGGAGGTTTTTAAGAACAGAGTGGACAAACACCTATCAGGGATGGTCAAGGTTTAATTGGTTCTGCCTCAGCGCGGGGACCTTGATGACCGTGAGGTCCTTTCCAGCTCTATATTTCTATGATTCTGCCAGATAGAGACAGGAATGTGATACTCTGTGCCATGAAAAAGCTGAGATTTTCACCATCCCAATGGCATAGATTATTAGACTGTAGCCCTCATGGTGCAAGTGATATTGGACTTTAAAACTGCCCCTAGTCAATCAGTCCAGCAGTGCTGTTTCTGAACTGATCCAGGCTTACAAATGGCAAGTTTGACCTTGAAGCACTGTATCTTTCAGTCCCTGAAGGGAGAGGGGCAGTATACATATGCTGCTGTAAAATACATGCTACAAAGCCTATTATATTGTGTGTCTACAATATGAATAGAGAATCTCGCTTATAGTAAAATAAAGGAGATGAGATGTTATAATTATTAATTTATAAAACAGCTCTTTGTGAAATGCGACTATTTCACATCACTATTTATTTAATGATGCAGTAATTTCTAAATTCCCTATAGAAACTATCATTCTTTACAAAATTTGACTTTATATTTTTTATGTATTTAATCTGGATTTTTTTGCATTTTATAAAATTTAAATTCCCACAGCAAAATCTGTTCCTATGCAATACTGTACACATTAAACCAACAAGTTAAAACAGAAAACAAGCAGTAATCTAAATGTGCAATACTGTACACTAAGTCAACAACCAGTAATCTGAATTTACCTTTCCTTCCGCCACTGACCTACTATAAATACAAAAGCTAATGGAGACATAAAAATGAATCACCACCTCCTGCAACTGTGACTTTCTTGTTCCAAATCTGTGGCTCTGTCCCAGTAGAACAGCTGGGAGATTTTACTGCTTCTATAGCAACCATGTCATCAGCCTGTTGGCTTGACAACAATGCATGAGAAGAAACAGTTAAGAATGGTCCAACTGTTAGCTCAAAAGGTGCTTTTTCAGGTTGTGTTGCTAAATGTCTATTTGCTGTTCAATTTAATAAATTTTGCAATAAAAAATCCTATACAGTCTTTATTTGCCAGCAAGATCAGGTCTTCTTCCCTGGAATCCTGCAAAGAGTTAATATCCATTCCACGTGACGTCACACTGGATGGATCAAACCTCTGCAACAGCTTCAGCTGATCAAGTGATAATCCAGCTCCCATCATGCCTTCTCCTCCAATACGTGGTTCCTTTTTTAAGTGAGAAAGTAAAGCAGTTTATTTACATTAATCTGCAATTACTGTTGTTTTGATTAATTAAATATACACATTAAAATATGAACTCAAGAAATTATGTATAGAAGGATGTAGTGTAACATATTGGTAGAATAATTTTAATTGAACATCTTTGGTATATTTATTATACAATTTCTATATGAGCCAAAACCAAGCTGATTCTAGCTGCTGGAGTTTGTTTTGTTGTATCCGTTTCATAAGGAAAAGGAAAGAGCATTTTAGCTCATGCTACTGGAGATCTATTTACAAGAAATCATAAAATGTCTATGGAAATATTGTGGGAATGCACCGTTTAATGTCACTCCCTAATCTGAAAAATTAGACCCAAAAGACCAGTACTTCATACACATAATACAGGTGGTGACCAAAAAAATCTATACACTATACAACAGGTACAAGAAGGTAGCACATTTAGTCTTAAAGCGGCAGAAATGTAATCCCAACTCTAGATCAGTTGGTAGCAGAATTAGATAAAACCGTTTGTCATTCAGCTGAAATATCAAGTATTTACACTCAGTATGTGCCTGCTACATATATAGCTCCATGGGAAACGATAGTGAGTCAAAGTTGTTCAGCTTCATGAGTGAAATCCCAACAATACTGAAGTCAATGGAAATTTGCCATTTACTTCAATGAGAATTTTGCTTTATAATTTATCAGGATTTTTTTTCCCCAGGAAGTGGACGGCAAAGATGACTGTATTCATATCAACAGGCAATAGAGGAAATATGGGCATATGATAATCTTCAGCACAAGCCCCAGCACTGTTAAATGTTGGATAGTACATCTTTTATTTTCTTCTACTGCTAAACACAAGCAGCCACTCTTCTTGTCATACCCCTATCCCAAACTCTCTTTTTTTAAAAAATTTCAATTAAAAGATGCACCAATTACTGGATCTAGGCACATTAACTAAGTGCACAATTACAATATTTACATGCTAAACCAAAAGTCAAATTGACTTTTCCTCAACCATATAATACAGTAAAATTAACAATTAATCCCCTTAACATCCTGCCTAAGTGGAAGCCTAGGAGAACAGAACTATAGCTGGCCTGATGATCAAATCTCTCAAAGTACTAGTATAAACAGCGAGAGAGGGATCTTAGAATAGCTGCATTCAAAGATCACACGTATTTTCATACCCCTACTATCTGCAGATATTGGCTCTGAAATGAACTAGATATTGTAACAGAACTATTTCAGCTGACATGTCTATGATTCTGTGGATAGATGTCATACACCTCTGGCAAAATGACAATGCCTTTGACTAATTGTGGTTTTCACCTGCTGCCCCTGTGACATCCTCAGGGCCATACAGGTAGTATTGGATGAAGCCCACATAACACATTGTGGGCCATATATGCGTCCCACAACGGTAATTAGCTTGAAAACCACTGCTGTGGAAGGGTGACTTGCATACACAGTATTAACAACCATCTTTGAATTCTTCCCTCCTACCCCACCCCACCCCACCAGCAGTTTTTTACGTTTTCTTCCATCCTTAACATGATTCTTATAGCTATTTCAATAGCATTAATTGAATTTATTTTGCCCTTCCTGTGAGGTACTGAAATAAAAGAACAACAAGTATAAATATGCATTAAGAACAAGAGCTACAAGGAAAATGCTAGCCTGTCTTGAACTATCTATGATCCCACTCTGTTGTAATGACTGACTGGTGTACAGATACATGAAACCACTGCAATACACTGGTCGGGGTATGAATGTAAAGCCATTTAATCTCCCTTCAGTGAATTGCAATTAGATATGTGCTGATTCACTATGAAAATCACCATGTGTCCTATAGCCCTCAACCTCTCATGTTACCTAAGGTGAAATTGGCTCGTTGTTACAAAGCACATTGCTGCAGCAGCATACAGCATCTAGAATGCTAACAGAAGACCTCATGAAAGACCATTTTCCTTGGTCAACACTGTGTTGTCGCTTACTGGTGACAAGACTTTCCTGTTCCTCAAATACTTTTACTTGCAAGTCCATTTCTATCTATGGATGTTACATACCAGGAGTTTCAGTATTTGCTACTTAGTGGATTTACATTTATTTTATTGTATTCTTCTGAGAAATATCTTACCACACAACAGAAAGGAGTACTTGAAGTGTCATGGCACAGCCATTATTGTAATGACACAGATCAAACAGATGTAAAAAAAAAAAAAAAAAATACCACGTGCTGTTCAGATCTGCAGCAACTAAAAGTGCCTGCAATGAGCGAAATGTGTTTTATGAAATCACATACACCATTTCTTCACTGTTTCCAGAGTAGCATCCTACAGCAGAATTCTTCACCATATTGCTTAAAATTCCAGTGCTGATACTTGCATACTGAGTTGCATGTAGTAAACTGAAACTATTCCTACCTGTGACTGAAGCTGGAGGCAGGGAAAATTTTCCAGGGCCCAGGCGACCTGCTCCTCATTTTCAGACAGTGTAATTGTACATGTACTATACACCAAAGTGCCCCCTGGCTTCAGCAATTTCACTGCCTAAAAAGAGATAGTGGTTCAGCTTGTATGGTATAAACATCTTAAATGCAGAATTATTTTGAACACTATAGTAGTATATTAAGTTTTCTTAAGGGTTAATTATGATTTGCATATGTATCTGGAACCATTATGGTACAGTAGGTAAATGTAACACATATTTAGGCCAGAATCTTTCTGTCTAAGACTCAGGCATACTGCTAATTGTATAGACATTTTGTCCCTTTCAAGAGATGCCATATAAGTTCTGTATCAGAGGGGTAGCCGTGTAGTCTGAATCTGTAAAAAGCAACAGAGGGTCCTGTGGCACCTTTGAGACTAACAGAAGTATTGGGAGCATAAGCTTTCGTGGGCATCTGAAGAAGTGAGGTTCTTACCCACGAAAGCTTATGCTCCCAATACTTCTGTTAGTCTCAAAGGTGCCACAGGACCCTCTGCTGCTTTTTACATATAAGTTCTAACATTTCCAAGTTCACTTCTGGAAGAAGGATCAGAGTTTGTATTACAGAAGCCTACCAATTAGAAAGCTTTTCCTGCCCTATTAGCATTAGAGCTTGCACATCTTTCTGGGCTGAGGGAAGTGACCTCTCCCCTCAAGATCTATAAAACAGCTGTCTAGAAAGCTCTGTGTAACTCATCCAGATGTAGGTTAGATTTGTTTTCATCAGCTGAAGCCAAATGTGGACATAGAGTCCTATTACTTTACTTTAATTACACAAGTTCAAAGACACACTGAAGAATCTTTACATATTTACATATGTTTTAAGGCTGAAAGATTAATAGTACCTGATACCATCTCCTTTGAAAGTCATTTGAAAGAGAGGAAAACAACTGATCTTGTTTTATAAATATCTGAAGAGTTCTAGGCAAGGATTTAAATTTTCCTTCCTCTCTTTGACTCAGTCAGCTATGAATATGGAAAAACTGAGCTGAACACAACTTCTTTTCTTTTGCCATCTTGTTCTGAGCAAGACAATATGCAATGGAGAGATCTAAAAGAAGAGATGTCTTGGAAGTAGGAACCAGAGCACCAAGACTTCTTAGTATTCAGTTGGTTCTGCTGATGGTCTATCCAAGAGATGAACATCCCTCATGTGTAGACTAGTGTAAGATAAGGATACAAAAATGGGAAATCCCCAAACCAATTTGATGATACAGGAAATAGTACAGTTCTCTTCAACTTAAGAAGAGATGGGTGGGTAAATCCATTGCAGTAGGGGGAATATCAACTGGAGCTTGAAATTTTTATCAGTGAGGTGTACTTGTCTACCAGAGGGTGAGCTGGCCTTTTAGGGGAAAGTCTGGGCCAAACACATTCCTACTCCAATCCCACCCCTTTTAGGTCAGGTATTCTGGGAACGATGGCTAGAAGCAAAGCCTACTGGAAAACAGGGCAGGATATATAGGCAGAAAGATTATTCCTGCTCTCTCTCTCTCTCTCTCATTTGGGAAATGCAAGACCTACTATAGGTCTCTCTATGATAAGGAGGGAGCTGGAGAAGTGCACCAGCTTACTGATGGGGCTCACCCAGGATGAGGGAAGGCCTGGTGTGGGTCTCTCTCTGGTGGGGAGGAGCTAGAAGGAACAGAAGCTTGTCAAGGAGGGCTCTCCAGGGCCTGTACCAAGCTTGGTGATGCTTCCCTGCTGAGAGGGAGCTAGCAAATGATCCCAAACAGAGCAATGTGAGTCAAGAAGCCTGTGACAGGACCTGAAAGGAGTCTTACAGACTATGCAGAAGACTCCTGGGGAGAGGTGAAAGAAGGTGTAAGACAAGTCCTGGGGCAACAAAGCAGCAGCATAGTCTTGAGACCTAGTTATTTAGAGGCCTAGGCTTGGCTTACACAGAAGATGTGAGGAAAGACTCTGCACTTTCATTCTCTGATCAAGAAGAATGACCAGGGAAGACCCTGGACAAAAACAATGTCTAGCTCAGGCTGAGTCCTGCACTAAGAGCTGGGGGAAGGCAAAGGTCCATCAGCAGTGCCAGTGACCAGGACTCAAAGCCTGTGACCCAGGGAGCAGCAAAGAACTGGTGTAGACCCTACAATCAAAGGGAAGGAGTCAGCCCAGGAACAGGGAAGCATTATTTTATAGAAGCCCTTCATTTCAGGCTTTTATTTGCTCTGGATGGAAGACTTTTGTTCCTCTGGACAATACACCATACCATCCAAGTACCGGAGAGCCAGAGAGAAACTGAGGGACGACTGCGTTCAGATGAGGTAAGCTGCACCCATGTAATCCTTAACTGTAAAACTATTTATGTGCAGTTTTCTTTAGCTGCTTAATGAGTCATACATACCATGCTGAAAAGCTTGCGTTGCAATGGCTGATAAGACATCACTTCTTTTAGAGTCCAGAAATAGGCCATATTTGGTCTCTGTCCCATCCCACTACAAGGAACATCAAGAAGAATTCGATCAAATGACTCTGCTGAGAATGGAGGGCCTTCTGCAAAAGGCAATTGACATTTTTAAAAACTGCAGCACAACCAGTTAGTTATACATTACACACAGCCTTTGTTTCTCTTCTTGAGCCTTCACCTGTAGATACAGATGCTCCCCAAGTTACAAAAGACCCGACTTACGCAAATTCATACTTACGGAAAAAGTTCCATAAGCCAGAAATAGGATTTTTGAGTTGCGGAAATTTTTGCGTAACATACGGATATACGTTTCTGACTTACACAAAATTCGAGTTACACAAGGCTTTCCGGAATGGAACGATTGCATAAGTCGGGGGGCATCTGTAATGACAAGCTGTCACTGAATGCCCGACATGAAGTGTTTGAGGGTTTGTGCTCTATAAACTGTGTCTGCAAAAGTGACCTAATCTACAGGTAAGGAGCAGCACAGCTAGTAATGACTGTGTAGATTTCATTTCTGAGAAGAAAGCATTTTTTATGACTATCTTTACAACACTGTGAACTTAAACAACTTGAGATCAATTTAGGCTTAGCATTTCTCAACCCTAATTTTTAATGTACTGAAAGTACAATATTAAAAAAAAGTGCCAATGAAAACAGAACTTGGGTGGTAAGTTCTGGAATGTGACATAAGGTGGCTCCAAAAATTACAGTAAGAACTATTCAGAATTGCTTGTGTGGAGGAAGGGAATTTGTAGTTATCCTGAATCTGTCCCTTCTCCTGAATCCTGCTGGGCTGTACAACCCAGAAGTTCTTACAATACCAAGAATAGGGTGACTCCTCAGTTCAGGATCTCAGAGGCAAGAGAAACTGGTTCCCCACATACATCTGGAAGTAGACAGCGAGGGAGAAAGTTGTATCTACTCATGCCTACCAAAAATTCAATTTAGATCACAAGTGAAAATGAGTTGGTGGCTTCATCCTACAGCTACCCAGCAATATGCCAGCATTCCCCAAACAACTATATTTTGCAACTATCTGACATGACTAGCAGCTGTTGCCCAAGAGAGACTGTGGACTAGAATACAGAGCATTTTGTGAGACTTAAGTGCAGAGATGTATAGTAAAGCCTGAATAGATTTTACCTGTACTATGCCTGGCTCTTTCCACTGCTGCTGCTTCCTCACCTGCATAAGCACTAAATACCACCTATTATAAAATACATATATATTTGTTGAAAAAAATTACGAAAACGCTACATTTGACCTTGGAAATCAATCTGACTGTAAGCTATGGGGCATTAACAAGGACTGCCCCACATGTGGAAAGTGCATGAATTATGCAACCAAACCCTTAGTTTTGCTAGCTACTGACCTTGCTGAACTAGCAGGGAAAGGCCATTAACAGTTCCTTTTGGAAAAGATACAGTTTAGTTTGCATAGCAAATGAAAAAGAATCAAAGACAAAATATACCGTTTAAAAATTTCCATCCTGGGAACATAACCAGAGTCATCAATACAGCACCGCAGAAAAGCAAATGAAATGAACCTAAAATAAAAGTAATGCTCTATGCTTCTATAGCAACTCCCATCTGTCTCTGTTAAATAGCTATACAAACATTAACAAACTAAGCTTCACAGTACTCCTGGGAATTAAATATTAATATCCCCATTCTACAGATGGGAATTCAGAGACACACAGAAGCTAAGAGATCTGCCAAAGTCACTTATGTGACAGAATTAACAAAACCCCAAAAATTCAGAGTGTGGGCTTAAACACTATCATGAAGAAAGGCTTAACAGGCAGTCTCTCTGATATTATCTGGAGAAGGAATGAATGCCTCCTTAAGCACATTAGGCTGCAATAAGGACAGACACTTAAGAATTTTGCATGTGCGGTTCTGAGAAACTGATAATTGCAGAAGAGTAGAAAGTAAAATATCCACAGTGTTGAAGCACCCTGGGTATATGCCAATGTTTCAAGGACTTTGAATATTGTGGCAGGTTTAACAGCACTAGCAAAAATATGATTATCATTTTTTTCTAAAAGACAGTATCAAAATTCTTAAAATCATTTACTTTACCTTGTCCATCTTCTTTCTTCCCAATGGCAAGTGCCTTAGTTCCATCACAGCAAAATGCTTTAATACAATTCAGCTGCAACAATGCTGCATTCTGCTTGATTTTTTTGACTTTGTTAGCTATCTTGTCCATGGCTATCACTTCACCCTGAAAAAGTGAAGTGTGCACCAAGGTAGTGGTTAAAATGATGAGTAGCAGCAATACCTGTTACCTTTCATTTAAGCTCCAATTCATAACACACACATTTTTCTCTACTTTAAAAATAAATTCTGATAAGAAAATGTTAATCTAAATTTTGTGGGGTTATTTAAATTGGAAGAAAAAATGTAATTAATACATTCATAATTTTTTTCCCTTTTTTCTGATCATCTCTACAACTGGTCAGAAAATGTTCATTGAATATTTGACTAAAAATGGGGCAGAAGGAAATCAGTAATGTTTTTATATTTATCAACCAGCTTTAATTAATATTTTAATGGACTCCCTCCCCAAAAGTGTCTACATTATCTGATGTACTAATGTAATATACTGATGTTATAATATTAGAGTAATGTCTCAAAAGTACATCACAAGATTTCACACAAACATTTTAGAAATATTATTTATTAAATGCAACATGGAAAATGATAAATGTAGGGGGGAAATGGACTTTACAAGCAGAAAAGCAAAGCAAAGCAGACAAATTAGAGGAGCCTTATTTTATACATGTTCAGGAAGTACATTAATTTATATAATTCCAATTCAACAACTGCATTCTCCTGAAACTTTACTCCTGTGGTCTGAGGTTGGTAGAGTCTCTGGATGGAATTACAGTTACACATAATAAGAGGAACACTTTTTTCCTTATAAATCAAAAATATTTAATGTCTAAAAGTTGCAGATGCAGCACCAAACTATGAAAAATGTGTCTCATGTAAAAACTATAGATGGAAGTAAATCAATGGCAAAGGCACATTGCTATATAGAAGCTCTTCATCACCACACTGAAGCTCTTCATTTGTAAATTTCATGGCTCTACCTACTGAATGCCTATGCATGTTTGCAATTTTCCTATATTGAAGGGCTGGCCACTTCCCTAAGCACCACAATGATTATTTCAAGCAGACTGTCACATACAGCAAATTGTATGGCTTTTTAAAGTACTCACAACTAACCATTGCAAAGTCCTACTGTGAATGCATGGATAACTACTGAAGTGCATTCTGTTGCAAACTGTAAGATCTCTCTAACTCACCTCACATTGTATACATTCCAGTCAAAAATGACAATTCAGCTCATAAATGTTACATTTTCTTGAAATGACTAAAATAGACACCACCCCCCCATGTAAAAGAACAACCTCATAGCCCTTTCCTTCAGACTGAACATGCCTTGATATGGGCAAGTCCTTACACCTCTCTCCCTATACTTTTTTTGGAAGGACATAGTGCTTGTGTGTGTTTTCTCCTTTGTCTTCCTCCAACTGTTAAATTTCATGCATCCCTTTCACGTGTAATAGACTTTCTCCCTTTGTCAAACATACAACTTTCACTAAGCCTTCCAATATTAAGCACTCACAATGCCTCCACGGCCTGCTGCAGCTGATCCATTTTCCCACATCAATTACTAACCTTTTGTAATTGCTGTTCTTTAAGATGTGTTGCACATGTCCATTCCACTTTTGGCGTGCATGCACCCCGTGCACAGTCATTGGAAATTTTTCCCTTAGTGGTACCTGTTTGGGCAGCTTGAGCACCCTCTGCTGCTGTGTGCCCCTGCGTGCCGGTAAAGGGCCCAACTACCCCCGAATGCCCTCAGTTCCTTCTTGCCAGACAACTCCAATGCAGAGGGGTAAGTTAGTTGACTGGGTAATACGAAAATTAAATACCACTTTAGAGAGAAATCTCAGATAACAGCACAAGTACACCTTTATCCTTAAAAAAGCTTGTATAAGGTGATTCAGATGTCAGAGCATGCATTTCGACCACCCTCCTGGCTGAAGCTATCGCTATCAGGAAAGCCACTTTTAGAGACAGGTATAGTAAGAAGCACATTGCTGAAGGGTCAAACAGTGGCCCTATGAGCTTTCACAAAACTAGGTTCAAGTCCTAGGAGGGACAGGTTCTCTTATTTGAGGGTACAACTTTTTCTGGCTCTTCACAAATCTGAATGTCATATCACCAAAAAATACAGAATGGTTATCCACATGGAGATGGAAAGCTGATATTGTTGCCAGCTGATAGAGATCTGAGCTACCAAAGCTGCTTACATTCATAATGGAGGCATTTTTCTATTTGGTCTTGTCAATCTGGGGTCTCGTCAAAGCAGTCCTCTATCCAGCATGTCCTGGACTATCTATTGCACCTAAAACAGCAGGGGTTAGCGATTTCTTGAAGTAACTTTTCTCCTCCTCCTTCTCCTCCTCCATCTTCTCCTTGGAAATGCAGACATGTCTTCCAAACAGATGACTAGGCCCTTGAGCTCCTGCTGGGAAGCAGGGCTTGGGGCTTGCCCCACTCTGGCGCTCCAGCCGGGAAGCAGGGTCGGGGGCCACTCTGCACAGTTCCCGGAAGCAATGGCATCTCCCCTCTCCAGCTCCTGTAGATCAATCTCTGATAATTTTCATATGACTTTACATTGTGCCTCTTCATATAACCTTGTGGTGGGTCTACCCACGTGTGACCTCTGTTTTCATGGAACTTTGTATCAAAGCCTCATTTAGAAACTTTGCATTACCCTTGGTATAATATTATAGCCCCTAAGGATAGAATAAGATAGAAGAAAAATTTCTGTTTGCTAGCAGGAGAACAAGGGCTCCCCCCCCCCCCCCCC